CTTTCATAAATTAAGCAGCTTCCAGGTGGTAAAATTGAAAAACTCAGTTTATTAACAAAAACTGAGGACAAAAAAAATTGTTGGGTAATCAGGTATAAGCATACATCACCATCACTCTGGTCCCGCATGGTCCTTCTAGCTTTCCTTCAAACAACAATCTTAAAGTAAGCTCCTGTTTGCTCTTTACTCATTAGGTGATGATGATGATATATTGAGAGTGGAAATGTCTTGTGGACATGCTGCAGATCCTGGCTCTTTAACCGGTTGGTGTCGAAGTCTCTTAGATCAGGTAACAGCAGGAAGGAGTTGCAAAGACCTTGCTGTACATTCAATATATTTGTTTCTTCCAGACATGTCATTTCCTATAATGAAAGTGTTCTGTCAGGAAGTAAAACTGCCTTCAGTTGTTCTATTTAGCTCCCTGAGATCTTTTTAGTGTCATTTAAATCATTGTAACAGGGTGATCTGACACTTTGAGAGAGCATATTTGGCAGAAGGGGCGGGGGCTAATGTGGCTTAGCCCCCCCAAACGCAGGGCACCAGTAGGGCTGTAAGGCATCCTGGCTGCAGGCTGCTGGCGGCTGCAGCAGGGGTGGGGAGGAGAGTGGGTGCAGTGGTGAGAGAGGGAGTGGGGCTAGGACTGGGGCTAGGGAGGGGGCAGGGGCAGGCGCTGCACAGCCGGGGCAGGGCGGGGCAGGGTGTGGGACTGTACTGAGAGTGGCTCATCCGGGGGGGCACGGCTCCCACTGCTATGTGCACCCGGGAGGCAAGACGGGCACGTGCTGCCAGATCTGCGTGGGGCAGGGCAGGCTGCTGCTGTGGGCAGAGCTGCGCTGGACTCTTACCGGCAGGGGCTGGACTGGGCTGCTCTTGGGGCAAATGGCAGCGGTCCTAGGAGGAGGCTATGGGGGGGGCTGCAGTCACCCCAAAATTTGCCATATCCCCCCAACCCCCTCCCAGCACCGCCACCATCCACCCCAAATGCAGCCCAGCCCTTGCCAGGAAGAGCCCAGCACAGCCTTGGCTCCAGCATACAGCGGCAGCCTGCTCTGCCCCGTGCAGATCTTCCTAGGCGCATGAAGCAGCGGGAGCCGCCACCCCCTCCCTGCGCCCCCCCAGATAAGCTGTGGCTCTGCCGCATGCCCCGCCACGACTGTGCAGGACCTAACACAGCACCACTCCCTCCCCCCCAGCCCTTTCCCTTCCCCCTGCCAACTTATCTGCTGGGGGGGCATGTGCATGCACATTCAGCCCCCTCAAATTTTTTCTCCCCCTGCCTATGAGAGCAAGCAGCCCTGTTGAAGTAGCCTAGCTGTGGTCATTTAGCTAATGAGAAAATGCCCCACAGGAAGTTTAAAATCCCAAAAGAGAGAGTAGGGGGAGAGAAACCAATGAAAAGAGCATTTGCAGGCAGAAGGCCAACTGTGACCCAAACAAGCTGGCTACCAGGAAGGAAAGAGCCATGCTAGCATACTGGGGCCAGAGCCAAGGGGAATATGCAAAACGAATATGTACTGTATTCTTCCTGTCTCTTCTCTCCGGTAACAAAAGAAGCTCAAAGTTTAGGGGATCCATTTCAGATAAACATACAATGTGCTGATGCTGCTCTAAAGCTTATACGTTCTTGAGCCCTCACTATTTCATTTGCCCCAGGACAAAATCATCTTCCAGATCATTGTAAGTAAATAGCAGGCCTTCATCCTCACTGCAAAGTCCGCTCTGGTATACCCCAAGGCTCATACATGGTCCTTTATTCCTGTTCCTCCTCCCCTGCCCTCTAATACAAGTTAAGACACCCTTAACTTTGACCTTAATGGTTGGCTTGTACCTACACAAGTATAGCATATTGCTTCTTATCTCACATTTTTGCTTTCTTGATATCCAGGGTTACTTCAAGTTTCACTGCCCTGCTGATGTTAATGGGAAGAAATGTGGGGCAGAGTGGTCCTATCAGGAAGTCCGGCGGAATGCTTCGCTAACCGAAAAAGAGCAAGAAAACTTTGAAAAAAAACTTGCAGAATTTGCAGCTAAATATTACTGTGATTTCAAAGAGGTGAGTATTGAACCCTGTTACTTCTCTCCTCTTCCACTCCACTACCTTTTTTCTTTCATCCAGACGCTTTCTAAGTAATGGCAAAGTTGAGCAACTCTTGCTGAGGCGCTTGCAGCTGCTGGTCTGCATGACTGCAGTGTAACTACGGTGGCACATCGAACAGATTTCCATCCCAATTGGTTATTTTCAAGCCCTTTTATATTTTTTATAATACAAAAAATATGAGAGAGAGAGAGAGAGAGAGAGAGAGAGAGCGCGTGCACGCGTGTGTGCCAAGAGAACAGGATTTAGGTTTCTTACATCTTGCAAGGTTACATCTTCCACACGTGTGACCAACTTTGTTCTCTGTAGTTGTTTTGTAGGAGCTTACATTCTGCTGCACATTAAACAGGACCTAAGCACTATAGCTGTCCTGAGTACCCAACTGGCATGATCTTACAGCCTGTTGGAATCATTTAAGTAACTCATTTGAAGGAGGCCAGCTCTCCTGGCCATGTAGGGATCAGGACGGTCCTGATCCCCATGTGGCGGGGAGACAGCTGTCCCTGCAGCCAGCACAGCTCCCACCACATCAGGGCTTAGCCAGGGAGCAGTGGACCCTCTGCAAATTGCTCCCAGTCAGCACCTACACCTACTGCACATTAGCTAATGTGCAGGAAATCTTCTACCTGTAAATGCAGGTAGTAGATTTACTGCATATTAGCCTGTTTTCTGCACAGTAGCTCATCGCAGTTACACAGTGATGCTTTACTGTGCAGCAAATTAGACTACTGTGCAGCACAGCGTCTCATGTAGACATGCTCAGTGATGCCAAACTAAACCCATTCCAGAGCCTTCCCAGGCAGTAGACAGCCCAGGGTCTCTGCAACAAGAAGCTAAGCCACGGGTCACATGCATGACCAGGAGCTCAAGTCATTCACTGAGCCACAAAATTCTCTCCTTCCCTCTCACCAATGCCAGGATATGCACAAACCAAACCACAGCAACATGTTACAAGCCTGGCAGAGCATACTCCAGCACCCCTTAAGGATAAGCACAAAACTGGCACTGGTGGGCTTCTTGCAGGAGAGAAGACTATACAAACAATCTCTCTGCAAAGCAGTTCCAGACCAGCCTGCATGACGGCTGAAGTGAATAAGCCACCTCTTTAGTAGTGCCTAGATTGCTAGACATTGCTTAGATGAACACCTTGCTGGGGTCGTTTGACCCCAGTACTTTTTCCTGCCATGGCAGGGGGTCAGACTTGATGATCTGCTCAGGTCCCTTCCGACCCTACCAACTATGAAACTATGACATGCATTTTGCCTCTAGACCAGTGGTTCTCAACCTTTCTAGACTCAAGGCAGTCCTCAGAAAAGGCCACGTCTTAGCTTTCACTCATTTGACTACAGAGCAATTCTTCCATTGCAAAGACCTCAGAAAGACTGCAGCAGGTTGGAATGATTTAGACATCATCGAGGCATATTCAAAGTTGCTGGGTTGATCTTGTAAATTGTGTGCAGGTGTTTGCACATATAACTGCTAATACTGCACAGCACGCTTAAAAGGCACCCTGGCTAAGAATCACTGCTCTAGAGACATTGAGAAAAAAGCCCCCTTTACTCTTTTTAAGGCAGTAGAGGTATGGAATTTCTGATAGGCTCTTTTCCCTTGGACTAGAGCAGGGGTGGGCAATTATTTTGGGCAGAGGGCAGCTTACTGAGTTTTGGCAAGCCATCGAGGGCCACATGACAGGCAGCCCGCAGGCCAGATAGAATGGCCTGGCGGGCCACATCCAGCCCCCAGGCCACATTTTGCCCACTCCTGGACTATAGCAAGAATTAGCTCTATGCATTTCTTCTGATGCACCTCCTCACTCCGACATTTGGAAGATCCTTAAGGCCAAGAAAGGGTCAGGCTGATTATTTCAGCATGGCTTAGGCAGCAGCAATATACTTACATACTGATGCTGTCCTTTGTCACAAGTTCTTTATCCCAGAGAGACATGTTCTCCATATCAATTTGGAGTCCTTGCATCTGGCAACATGAATATCCATCACTTAGGCCATATGCTATGCCAGCTGAAGACACATTCCCATCAGAGAAATAGGCAATGCAGAGTTTAAACCTCACGTTTACTAACAATACTCCTTCAAGTTGCCTCTCGTTCTCCAGTGCTCGGATTGGGAGAGCAGTTTTACAGTTCTCTCTCCAGTTCCCTGGCCCGCACCCCACAAGGAACATCCTGCTTGCTGATCTCCCGTGAGCAGAGATGCACAGGAGCCCTCAACAGTAATGATAGCCTACCAGCAACCTTGCTTCCCTGAGAGTCACCATATTCCATCCACCTTCCCATCTGCCTCAGAGATCTCCATACAGCTAAGACTCTGGGAGTCAGACAGAGGAGCTAAGTCAGGTGGGTTGTACTTCTGCACTTAATGTCACAGACTGACCACTGTGTACCACAATGAAATCCTCTGGGTAGCCCTAACTGACAGTTTTCCAGAAATTTCCAGATCTTAATGGCACCATTTCATGAGAGTAAAGCTTAAAGAATCATGACTATTTGGAGGTAACCTGTTTCCTTCATAATATAAAGCAGGGCTGCGCAACTTCTAGGCAGTTAGGAGGCCGCATATCAGTAGGAGGTCCTACTGGTGCAGGCTCCACCCCATGTGGGCAGCACCAGGACAAGCCAGAGCTCCCCCAGGCTGATGGATATCCCCCTCCACTGCACCATGCACCTGCATGTGCAATCCCACTCTCTCTGCCCCCTGTGCCCACACAACCCCAACCTCACCTCCATTCCCTGCATCACACAGCTCCACCTGCAGGGCAGGGGCGCAGGTAGGAAGACTCCAACTGCGCTTGCAGCCAGAGCAATGAGGCAAGCAGCAACTGGGTAGGAGTCCAGGGGTCACAACTTAACCCCTCATGGTTCTGCATGCAGGTGACTTGAACTGCCTGTTCTTACACTCCCCTGGATTCTCCTAATAGGAGAAATCCAGATCTTCTGTCAGCCCTATTTGCTGGACAATGGGATTGATCTAGTCACGTAGGATCATTCCATATAGGAAACAAGGAAATAAACTTCTTTTTAAATTGAAAGCATGGTGGATCTTGAACTCAGGCTGCTTAAAATTTTTTTTTTTGTTACTGCCATGAATTCAAGTTCTTTAAGATCACAGATCAACAGCACATGCTTCTTCAGCCTGACAAAGGTGTTTGTGCCCAAAAGTTTGCAAAGAAGATTTTTTTCCAACTAATTGAGTTGGTCTAATAAAAGATATCAGATTTACCCAAAGAACCTTGTCTCATTAATGAGAACACTCCTTAGTTAAAGAGCCAATATTCCCTCCCCTCCCTTAGGAACAGAGGATACTCCCAATCCACATCCCTGGGTCAGCTCAAACAAATACATGATGCTTCTGGTAATTATATATAAATACTAAGTTTAGAAAGAAAGAAAAAAAGAAAGAAAAAAGCATTTCAGAAAATATCTTTTTTTTTTTTTTAAAATCAGAAAGAAGGCAAGGCTCCACCCAACCCTCAATCTGTGGGGCAGTGTCATCTGGTCCCTAGGTCTCCCCACATGTCTGGAAATTGGTGGAGGGGGAGCAGTGGCAGCATTAACTGCCACTCCCCTGCTGCCAAATGTCCAGACCCATAAGGAGACCCACAGGCCAGATGATGTGGCCCTGTACACTAGAGTGGGGCTGGTACACAGTCACTCCACAGCTGGATCTAGCACATGGGTTGAGCTGATGCATGAATCTGACATATGAGATCAGACCATGAATGGGGCTGAGCTGGTTCATGGCATCGTTTCTGAAATTCTTGTTTCCTTCCCAGTGTCCCAAATGCAAGAGCTTTGTGGAACGCAAGGATCTGACAAACCTCAGAGTGCACTGCATCCTCTGCCTTTCACTGAAGGGGGAGCAGTTTGAATTCTGCTGGCAGTGCCTGAAGCCCTGGAAAGGCAGTGGAACTTCCTCCGTGAAGTGTGCCAATGACGGATGCAGGAACCAGTCTCTGGACATCCTGGCAGACTGCAAACTGAAGGCTCTCCCAGGAAGTGAAATAAAAGACTGCCCATCCATTCGCGCTTGCCCCACCTGCAGGCGCCTCATTGAGCACAAGGAACAATGCAAATATGTCATGTGCAGTCAGTGTCACATTGAATTTTGCTTTGCCTGCCTTGAAACTGCACGGGAATGCCAGGCCAAGAAATGTAGTGCTTATTTTTTGTTCTGTGCTAAGCCAGTGGCTCCAAGGCAAACCACAATCCCCGTGTGGTCTCAGAAATAAGGAAAATCCTTCCTGCCATGCAGACCAGGGTGATTAGGACAAGGCTCAGTGTCAGTGCTCCAGTACACCTCCTGATGGTCCCAAGTTGTGCAATATTCCTCCCTTCCACCAAATGTAGATTGACAGATAGATACGGAAACTGAGCGATAGATAGGACAAATGTCACTAATTTCCGCCTCTTGTTAATTCTTTAGTAGTGATGCTACTTCTTAAGCCCTATTCCAATGACCCTTCCTATAATTCCTAATAGAACTCTATCCTAGAGCCATGCCATAGAGCAGACTACTGGCACCTGCCAGCACACCAAAGGTGCTGGAAAAAGTCACTTTTGCAGACAGGGAAAATAAATGGCCTGTAACAACAGACTGTTTACATATTTACACGTCTGCCCCTGGTAGAATGAAGCAAGATTTAAACTGTGATCAGGAGCAGAATCAAATGTTAAGAGAAGCCTGTGAACAGGAAAGGTTTCTTTGGGGTGGAATTAAAAAAATCTTAGTCCTGCCCAAGACTACGTTATTCCTCCTTGACTCTAACCCTCATGTACATAGCTCATCCCCACATACATCCACCTCTTTTTCATGCAATAAGTGTCTGATTCAGCACACTAATTGCAAACCCATGGCATCCTCAACTTGGTAATGTGAGTTCTGGTTTTCTTAACATAGTAATCTATAAAACTAGACTCACACTGGTCTTTCTGTCTATAAGCTGAACCAGTCTCCCACAAATAAAATAAATTTGGTGCAGAAGTGTTCTGTACTTCTGTGTATTACTGTATTTCTCCTGTGTATTAAAGAGACCTTTACTGCAATGAATGAATTTCAGAAGGTTCAGAACTTCAAGAGATTTAGATGCTTCTCCAATGGTTGTTCAGCCTTTGACAAGGGCTTGTACAGCTTGGCTGGAATTGCTACCAAAACATTTTATTCCCATTTCTAGTTGGGATGGAAGTATTACAAAAACAGCTTCTCATGTAGTACTTTGACTCCTGCAGTCTCTGCTGGAGCCAGGAGGGCCAAAGGGGAGGGAAAGTATAGCTGAGCCTGGACAAAGCCCCGGTGGGAGTGCATCCCTGGGTTGAGAATGACTCATCAGAGCTTTGGTGCATTACCGATCTGTCCCAGATGCTTTCCTTTCCTGGCTGTGTTGTGATGTGACTTAATGCAGGCTCTCATCTTTGCAAGCTATGGGGGGGCCTGTGCTAACTGCCTCCACTTATCCACCCCACCCCAATGCAAACTGAGCTCCCTCCACGACGGGGCTGGGGCTGGGAGGGGGAAGTGGAGGAGCCAAGGGAAAGTGGCTGCAGCTCGCAATCACAGCAGTTCCCAATCATAGCTGTATCCCCCAACCCCCAGGACCCAACAGCAAACGTCTGATGGGTCTTGAGGATCACTGTAACTCATGTCACTTCCAGATGGGTTCAAAGAAGGGGCGGGCAATTATTTTGGGCGGAGGGACACTTACCAAGTTTTGGCAAGCTGTTGAGGGCCATGTGGATAGCCTCATCCGTTAACAGGGGCCCCACACCCTGGTCGCCATCTTGGGAGCAGAAGGTCCTACTGCCCCAGTCTCCTGTCATCTTTGACAGGCAGCCAGGAGCAGATAAATATCAATTTTCTAAACTTTTTAGGTGCCCCACAGGCTGGAGAGAATGGACTGGCATGCCAGATTCAGCCCACGAGCTGTATTTTGTCCGCCCCTGGTTCAGAGCAACAAATAAATTGTACCAGAGAGCTTTTCTCTGGTGGTAAAAGGTATAACATTTTGCAAAACTGAGCCCTACCTGCCTGGCCCTGGAGATCACACAGCCAAACTTCTGAGCTTAGCAGGAAACAGAATATTAGCTCAGAGAAAGAGACCTGCTCAAAAAGATGCACATATCTAACAGTAGGGAATTTCCAGATTTCAACATCCGTACTTGCATGACCCTGATCAGACCTTCCTGTTCCATTTATCATAAATATTGCCTTTTCTAAGAAAGATACTGAAAAATAAAAGTTTGAGTTTCACTTTCTTTTCCTTCTGTTGCCACATTCTATTTGTCCTGCACATTTCATCAGGAGGACCTGAATCAAGAAGAAAACAGCTGGCTGCAAGTCAAGCACAGCTGCCTGTAGCCACACCGCAAGCTGTTTAAAGCAGTTGTGCACAATCTTTTGGCCCCATACATGCACCAGATGTGGCCTCCTGACCCAGCCCCAGACAACCTGCAAATGCGGCCATATGATCTGGCCACAGGACTTGGAAATTTGATGGTGGAGGAATAGTGGCAGTGTCAATCACCACCACTCCCCCGCTGTCAAATTTCTGGACCCCTGGAGAGCCCTGTGGGTTAAATCCCATGGGTCCCCAGGCTGGATCTGGCCCACAGCCTGGTGTTTGACCCCTGGTTTAAAGCAACCTTTTGTTCTCTATTCCAAGCCTCCACTCTCTTAGTCAGCATGGACTTCGATGGCTTGGTAATATGTGGAGAATGGATGATGGCTAGATACCTAAGGTTCTCTCGTATGGAGAAATCTTTACAAGAAGAAGACCATGTGGGCATCCTTACCTCCAGTTCAGAGATGCTTGCAAGAGAGATATGAAGGCACTGAACATTGAGACAAATCACTGGAAGCAGATTGATGAAGATCAAAGTACTTGAAAAGAGTCTATAAAGCGTGGAATGAAGGCTTCTGAGGAAAGAAGAGCCCAACATGCCTAGGAAAGAAGACACCTCAGGGAGAACCCCATGCCACATCCAGGATTGTTTGATACAAACTGCAAATGCAAGAAATGTGGAAGGGACTGTCACTCAGGAACTGGTCTCTATAGCCACACTTGCAAATGTTCAGTGAGCTGATGCCACTATTCTCTTGTCCTGTGAGACAGACAGAAGCCTACTATGCCTACCCTGTTCTCCAGATTGCTTCCACAAAATGATGCACCCCTGACCTTTCACAGATGATGTTGGAGCACCATACCTGGAACACAACCTGCAAACTGCTCCCTCAGCTTCTTATGTTGCTCACTTGCAACATGAACACAGAACTGGCAGAAGCCACTGGAGACTCAAGGCCAGCCCCCTGCCATTGCAGGGAACCACTTAGTTACCTGATCAACCTCCATCTTAAAAGCAGCTACATGTTTTTTGTCTTCATGGCTCCTGTTGGGAGGCTGTTCCAGAGCCACACACTTAGATGATTCAAAAACTTTAACTAGTACCCCTAGTACCCAACTAAATTTTAGTTCATTATCACTTGTTCATGTCCCAGCATTGGTCTTTAGTTAAATAATTCTCTTCCCACTCACAAGAAAAATACTTCTTTTCTAGTGTCCCACCCATCCCTCCCCCTTCCTCCCGCAAATGTATTTATAAGCAACAATCCTACCCCTCCCAGTCTTCCCCACCTAGCCTCCATTAGTTTGGCTAAGGCGGCCAACCTCTTTAGTCCCCTCTCACATGATCTGCTCTCTATCTCCATGATTATTCTAGAAGTCCTTCTCTTAACCTATTCCCATCTGGCTTGAACTTTCTTGAATATGCGTGGCCACAATGGTACAAAGCATTCCAGATGAAACCTCACCATTGCCTTGCATGTTGGCATCATATGCAAGAATATAAATCATTTGTATTTGGGCAGTGTGCAACCTACTGAATTCAGTAGGTTGCTCAATTAAGTAGGTTGCTCAGTGGTCTGCTGTGGCTCTTTCTTTAGAGGGCACCACTTCTCTGATCAGCTGGAGCTCATCAGTAGCCCTGCACAGTTGATCAAAGAAGTGATGCCCTTTGCAATAAAAGCTGCAGCCAACAGCTAGAGCACCTCTGGGGTCTTGTACTGCTGACTGCTGTGGCCATACAGATGTGTAACTAGTTAGTTCTCTGCCCTGGGTGGTAGCAGTGCACCCAGGTACCACTTTTACAAGACAGTTTTGGTTCTTGCCAACAGCAGACAGTACACACAAGAACAGGGTGGTGGTAAATGTTTAGTTGGTGTGAAGAGAGGGTGGTGAAGGGTCTTCAGTGTCAGACTCCACATCACTGGTAGGAGGTACAAGCAAGGTAACATCCATAAGAGAGATAAGCTAGTGGGATGCTTAGAAGCCATAATGGGGATGGCAACTACAGAAATACGTGTCGCAGACAATGAGCGAGGAGCACAGATCCACACAGGAGACTGTATTTTGGTGCGCACCACTCTCACAATGCACCTCACAATGCAGCTGACTGCAGGCTTCCAGCACACCGATCGCATAAGAGTGAATTTACCTCACACACAACAAATTTTTGGTATAAAAAGGGTCATCGCATAAGAGCAAATTAGCACATACAGAACCTGCATAAAGCGAGGGAAACCTGTACACCCCCCCACTAGGTAGCACACCTTCATAGTGATAGAAGGAAGGAACCTAACCCGGCAAAGGACTTGGCTTGTATCATAGTTTCTCTCTAATTAGGTTGACCATATGTCCTGGTTTGGTTGGGGCAGTCCTACATTTCAGAGGCCAGTCTTGGCCAGCTGGTGAGAATTAAAATGAGCGTCCTGGGTGCAGGCTGTGGAGGCAGAGCAGATGGAGCTGTGAAATAGGAAGCCCCAGTAGACAACAAAATTGCCCTAAAATAGGTTAGCTTGATTAGGGGAATGACCATTAACACTAATTATTACTTTACAGGTGATTGTTAACACCTGTGAGTTAAAGAATAATGGGTCATTTATGAGCCACTGACTCCCTGCAGCAGACAGTGTCCCAGATTTCACATTGTCCCATGCAGTCACCAGATCTTTAATGGAAATGCCTCTTATAATCTGTGCTAGGTTCTCATTTGCCCTTTTACAGCCCCATCACATAAGGGGGTCAGTTATTCTGTGATCAGTTCCTCTATCACTTCTAACTCAAAAGCCTCCAGCTCATGGCAGTCTCAGAGGTAGCCCTGAAGTGCATGGCCTGCACTTTGCACTACTGAATGTCATCTTATTTCTACGATTCCAGTGCTCAAGGTCAGCCAGTTGCATGTGTATGATATCCCCACTCTCTGCTGCCCAGATACCTCCCACCTTTGTTTCATCAGCAAGCGTCATCAACATGCTCATTTTTGTAACAAGGTCATTAATAAAAGCATGAAACACAATTCATTCCAACGTCTACCCCTGAAGAACTGCACTGATAACCTCTTTCAGGCCTGGGGGAAGGGTCTTACCCTTGGTGTCCCCATTGGCTCTGGGCTTCAAGTTATACCTGGCTACAGACCAGATCAGCCAGCCTCTCAGCATACAGCCACTGACCACTTCCTCCCAACTTCTGAGCTCCAGACCCTCCACCTTGGAGAACAGCCATGTTATCAGGGTTGAAGCTTTGGAGTCTTTCCCCACTTGTATGTATGGCTATTTTGAGAAAAGGCTATTCCTTTACCTTCTTCATCTGGTTTCTTTTATAACCTGTTTTGTTCTCAATATGCAGAGTTAGGGGATATCATAGATGCTTGAGGAACATATGATTTTTCATATTGAAATACAAAC